AAGCAGCTTTGAAAAGTTCAATTTTCAGTCTTTTTTTAATGTTTCTAATGACATTGTATCACGCGCTTTTTTAATTAAATTGCTCGAAGTTCGTGGTGCAGATGTGTAGATTTTGTACCAAGAAATGTTTTTGCTCAACGACATAACAGTGTTCTATCTGGAATTTCTTAAAAAATATTTTTTTAAGAAATTCCAAATAGAACACTGTTACAGTAATCAAGTGGAAAGTTTACAATTCTAGAGGCAAGTATTTTTGCAGTACTTTTTATAGGAAATGGACAAATACAATCAAGTGCGCGAATATGCTATTTGCAGGATTTTGTTTTATATATACAGGGGTGGGACCGCAAAATGTGAACGTTTTTGTTTTATTATAACTATTTTCTCGTTAGATGTAGTTGAGTTTATTTGATAAAAAACGAAAGACAAAGTACTAATGAATATGTAAACAAAGTAAAATATAATATGTAAAAAAACAAAAATTGAACATTTAAAATAGTTCATATTTAACAGAAAATTAATTATTACAATCAGAAAAGTGTTCACATTTTGCGGTCCCACCCCTATATATATATATATATATATAAATATAAATTAACTTTACGCTTAACTGTCGAAAAATACTTTCAAAGCGTTTTTGTAAATGCCAACAGACATTTTCACTATACCAGAACATTTGTATAGATATTGCAATTACAAAAGAATATGTTAAAGTAAAAAAATATAAATAAAATAATAGTTAGCTCTATCATCTTGAACAAAATAATCATTGAATAACTTGTATAAGCATTGAATAACAAAAATACTTTGAATAAAAAGGTATTGTGTGGTAGGGAAAAGTAAAAAAAAATGTACTCTTATAAAAAAAATTATTCGCCTTTCATTTTAGCCTTTTATGTTGCTTATTTGTTTTTACAAGAAACTTTTTTAATATTTATTAATTATACAACTAATACTTATCAGTACAAAACTGATAGATGTTAGCTGAATCTTTATTATTTTACTTTAGAGTCAATAGTTTTAAAAAAACTTAAAAGAAACCATTTCTGTTTTAATTTATACAATATTTACATATACACAATCAACATGTATGCGATGCTGTTATTTAGTCTAAAACACTAAACACTATAATGTAAAACTGAAAATACAGTTTTACAAAATTACAGTAGATTGATTATGAACACAGAGTAAAATAAGGAGAGTAATACGAAATAAACATGGAAGAGTAATGAAATACACTAATTTATTATTTTTTTTTATTATATGTATATTTTGAAATAGTTACAATAACAATATTTAAAATAATATTTACATGACCGGGACAAATAAAAATTTTATCATCAAGTCCCTCTATATCGTTATTTAATTTTTCCCTCTATATCTTTATTTAAGATTTTGTTAAGTTAAAATTCATGTTTATTTTTATATTTAAATAATGTTAAAATTTATTTGGAATATATTTTAAATAAACAAGTATACGCAAATTTTCTATATGTTATAGGCATTATGAGAAATCTTATCATAAATTAAAGTTAAAAATCCACGTCTTATTAACTTAATTCTCGCCCTGGTTACGCCTCTGCGACGCTAATCTTGGTTTCTAGTTAGACAATTTTCAGATTTAAAAAAATATGTAAATACTTATAATAAGACTGTTGCTATTTTATTGACAAAAAATTAAGCAACCGTAGCATTTGGGCTGTGCCCGCAATTTCGCGGATTTGTTTCCCGCCTTGGCACAAAAACGTTTTCGGTAAGGTTGAAAAAGGAGAGTCAATCTCTTAAATGGTATTCTCCATGGTGCTCTGTAATAAGATAAAAAAAAAAAACTTATTCGTTAACGCATTTTTTTATGATTTCGAAATATTATTTAAGCAAAGAAAACCAGCGGGTATATGAGTACTTACAAGAGGCTTGCGTCGTTTCAAAATTTCAAAATATATATATTGTATATAAAAACAGTAAATACGCAAAATTATATATATAAAACCTAACCTTGGTTAGCCAAATGGGTATTTGAAGACTAAAAAAAGCCTCGATTTGTGATCTCAACATTTGTAGCCCTTTTGCAACTAAAGGTCTGGGCCAAATAACTTTCCTAATTCCTTCCCTGTGATTTGAATATGTTACTCAATAAAAGGTCTTGAGGGGAATAGATAGTCTACTTAGCTAATATCTGAGTTAAGTATAAAGAGTTCTCTATATGCATACTTTCGGAATGTATAAAGAGTTCAAGAAGAATTGAAAATCTGTCTGACTTATCCAGGATCCGAGTCAACGGGATTCTAATGAATATCCAATGTCTGGTATGCATGGGTGTGTTAAAAAAACAATAAACTGTTTACCGCCGATTAAAATTTATTTTATACTAAATAATGCTTTTAATATGTTTGTGACTATGAAAATAGCCGTTTTTCTTTGTTCTTCTTTCGGAGGCTTTTAATTGTTACACATATTTTATGAATAAGGAGATCGATAAATCGATACTCCTTTCTTGGCGAAATCATTTAGTAACTTTCTTAGTAAACATTCTTTTTTTCACAGGGGGTTTAAGACGAATATTCTCTGGGTTAGTTTTTTGATAATGAGATTTGAGAATACTTTTTAATCGGATTGTCGGGCAAGGAATCGATTGATAAATAGTTTTGAGTTTGTTAAACTCCATATGGATCGATTCTCCGCCTTGTTCTCCATAAAAGCCGAATCCCGCTCCCCATTTTTTCAAAAACGAACTGCATGATGTTCTAAAATATGCAACTTAGGTGTAACTGAAGCCTTGGGCCAATTCGCACGATAAAACTGCATTAAACTTTTTATATTTTTTTCTAAAAAAATTTAAAAGAACAATTATAAAAAAACCAATAAGCATACTTAAACATTTATTTCAAAATAATTTATTTAATGAAACTTACTTAAAAGAAATAAATCTTTTGGTGTAACTATACTTCTTGAAAGAAATATTTTGTAGCACTGGGCAAATTTATCAAATAGTTGTTTATATTTATTGCTAATATGAACTGCTAACAGGTGCACGTTTGTTCCTGAATATCCTTCTTCATGAACAAGCTTCGGTATACAGTTACATAGCTGAAGTATTGAAGATTTCTAAATAGCAAATTTATTTTTAATCTTGTTTATAAACAGTTAAATATTTATTATAAGTTAATTATAAAAATGCTTAGCTACTTTGCTAAGGAGCCGTCCATAAATGATGTCAGAGATTTTTCCCGGTTTGTCGACCCCTCTCCCTTTCCCCTTTCATAAAAATTTAAAAGAACAAATATAAAAAAACCAATAAGCATACTTAAACACTTATTTCAAAATAAATGAGGCTTTTTAGTAGTGGTGAAGGTAACTTACCTATGAGAAGAAAATAATGATATAAAATCTTTAAAACTTAACTGGGGGAATCATGAGGGAATGGGTGGAGGAGGATATAAGGAGAGATATAATAGAGGATATAAGGGGGAGGAGGTCACAAACCTCTGGTGTTAATCTCAAAATATTTTCGGACATTAACGGATATTAACGGACAGCCTTTATAGAAAATAATTTATGAAAGAGATAGTAGTTCATGAAAAATACTTTTAGCATTTTATGCACATGGTTTCCCACAAAACTTCTTCCGTGATACGCTTGACGTTGAACTTTCAGCTTTTGCAGTATAGCCTCGATCATTTTTGTGTATGGACTCTGGTCCAACCCTAATGATTGCTTTCCAAGCAGAGTATTATATTGAGTCGTCTAAAAAAATAAGAAAAGTAGGGATAAAATAAACCAAAAAAACATCACAAATTATAATATTATATATTCAGTAATAACAAGACTATTTTGTGTAGAAAAGGATTGACATTTAAATCACCAACTTAGTGAAAGTTGATCTGCAAACTGTACACCTAAACTTACACACAAAATGTGTGAGTTTAGGTGTACAGTTTAGGTGTACAGCAAGATTCCTTGATCAAAAACTTGCAAACAAATATCTTAAATAATTCACACTTGTTGATGTAAAAGCATTCTACAATTAGTTTCCAGCATATAGATGTTTGCAAAACATTTTTGTTTTAACCAGTTTATACCTTTAAAACTTTATTCTATTTACAAACACAAATACCCTTTTACATAAACCTCTAAACATAATGATACCAAATCAATAAATCATAAAAATAAAATATCAATATTGTTAAACCTTTTTTGCTTTTTCACTATTAAGCAACTCAATTTCTGTGAAGAATTTAGATTGAATATTTTCAAAACTATCAGAATTGTTAACAGCTGCTTACAAAACAAAATCATTTGTTAAATGGATTTGATTGTCAAGTTTAAGAATTTCAACTTGAAGATTTAACTGCTGTTTTTGTTTTGATACAAAAACTGTATATTCTTCTGAAAAATTAATGTTGCTTTTTAATGTTTCTGCAGCAATTAAAGTTTTTAGCTGATGCACTTCTTCTTAACAAATTAAAAAAATTCAAATAAATACCAAGAGCCAGGTGGAGACTTGGTAAAGATACCACTTAGTAAAGATACCTAAAAATATATATCGAAGGTACATGACTAAAAACCTACTATTACAAAGCCATACTGCAAAGTTAATATAACAAATAAAAACAACATTACTTGATCAAGGGGTATTTTCAAAATTGGTTCTTCAATGACATTATTAAAAATCTTAACATTTTTCTTTAAGCCTCCACTTTCAATAAATTTTTTATGATCAGAAAATAGATCTTCCAAGGTACGATCTTTTATTTCAGGATTTTCATGTTTACCACATTTCATTTCACTTGCTGTCGCATAACAGAAAAGACAGCGATGCCTCCCTTAAAATAAAATTGATAAGAATTTCTTCTTAGGAAATAATTACAAACTAAATAATAATGATTAATTACAAAAGTTATATATATATATATATATATATATATATATATATATATATATATATATATATATATATATATATATATATATATATATATATATATATATATATATATATATATATATATATATATATATATATATATATATATATATATATATATATATATATTAGAGCGGAGCAATTTTAAAAATTTTTGAAAGTTGATTTAGCATAAGCTGCGAATCGATGTCTTTTGGTGAAGAAAGAGCCTTATAATTAGTTAATATAGTTTAGAAGAAAAAAAGTTTCAGCAATATTAGGATCCGTCATAAATTTAAAATCCAAAGAGGAACCTCTAAAACTCATTTACATTAAAAAAAAAGTAAGGCTCTTTCTTCACCAAAAGACATCGATTCGCATCTCAGGCTAATCAAATTTCAAAAGTTTTCAAAATCGCTCCGCCCTAATATATATATATATATATATATATATATATATATATATATATATATATAAATATATATATATTTTTTTTTAATTTTTTGCCGTAGAAAGTTACAATTTATAAAATAACAAAAATGATAAAATAGATGGCTGGAGCAAAATGAAGACATCAGTTTGTCTTATCACCGAGCTCCATAGTGACTTCATAACAGGTCGTTTTTTGCAACAAAATATATAAAATCGTGATAAATTGTTTGTGATAAAATATGTAAATTGTGAAAAACTACGTTTTACAAATGATATAACTGTTTATATATAAATTCGTTTAGTAAGATAAATTTAGAACAAGTAAAAGTTAAAACAAATAAAAGAAATAAATTGTGCTAGTTTGTTTTATACTAAAAAAGAAAAAGAAAATTCAAGTCCGTAGATAATAAAAAACGCTTTGATTCAGATTTAAATTGTTCAAGTGTATTTCTTTTGATAAAAACAATCTGGGGAAAAAATTTTCACAAATAAGGTCCGCAGTGTTAGATTGAGTATGAATTTAACTTTAATGTAAATTTTGGGATGACAAAGTTATTATATGAGAATCTAGTAGGGTATTTGTGACTTATTTCGCTAAAATAGGGTTGAAATATCGGCGGAAATAGTCCATTTTTTATTTTGTTTATAAACTGTAAAACAAGATGTATGTTAATTTTGTATATATTCAATGCTCATAGTTTGCATAAGAGAGGTTCACCAGACGCTTTTTTACTTACTCCGAAGACAATTCTACAGGCATGTTTTTTTTTACTGTAGAGTTTTTTAAGCTTAGTACAGTTTGTGCTTGACCAGGCCATGTTACCATAGCTTAGATGACTATGTATTAATGAAAAGTATAAACTTCTTAAGGAAATGATATTTAGGAAAGGTTTTGCTTTATACATTAATGAAATATTTCTTGAGAACTTTCTCTCTAAAGTGTTTATATGGAGCTTCCACGACAAATTTTCATCCAAGACCACACCTAGAAAGTCTATAAAGTTTTCTCTTTTTATATTAGTATTATTTATTTTAAGATCAGGTAGTTTAAGAAGAATATTTTCGTTTTTATTTGGTTTATGAAATAGGATGAACTTGGTTTTTTTGACATTCAAAGAGAGTTGGTTACACCTAAACCACTCATTTATTTTATGTAATTCTTTTTTAACTATGTCAAAAAGTGTCCTAATGTCTCTATGCGAATAAAACAAATTGGAGTCATCCGCAAAAAAAGATTAAATTTAATAAGTTTGATGTTGAATATAAATCATTTGTATAGAGTAAAAATAATAATGGTCCCAAGATTGAGCCTTGGGGAACCCCGTAAGTTATGACGCTATTTGTTGTTTTTGTTGTTTCATGCTGAATATATTGGTTTCGGTTTGGTAAATAATCTTTAAAATAAAGTAAGTTATTATTTTTTACTCCATACACTTCGAGTTTTTTTAAAAGAATGTCGTGATTTACGGTATCAAAAGCTTTAGAAAGATCAATAAAGCTTTTAATGCTTTTAGTAATGATTGCGTAAAGCAATCATTACTAAAAGCATTAGATATTTGATTAACTAGCTCAATTATAGCATGGTCGGTTGAGTGTTTTTTTTTAAATCCAAATTGTTTACCGTATAAAAAATTGTTTTCCGTCAAATAATTTTAAAGTCTATTATACATGACGCGTTCTAGTAATTTGGAAAAACATGGTAAAACTGATATAGGTCTATGATTATTAGTATCAAAATCATCTCCAGATTTAAAAATAGGGTTGACTCCAGCAATTTTTAGTTTATATAGTTTAGTTTAATATATATATATATATATATATATATATATATATATATATATATATATATATATATATATATATATATATATATATATATATATATATATATATATGTATATATATATATATAATATGTATATAGATATATATATATATATATATATATATATATATATATATATATATATATATATATATAATATGTATATATATATATATATATATATATATATATATATATATATATATATATATATATATATATATATATATACATATATATGTTTGTCGTTGTTGTTTTTTACAAAATTAATAGTACACAAAAGCATGATTACATAGTTGGTGAAACAAACATTAATTTGTAAAGCATACTTCTAATAATAATGTTAAACATGTTATTGATACTCTAGTTGAGCACAGTTTCATTCCAACAATTTTTAAGCCAACCAGAATAACTAAAAATTCTTCTACTTTAGTCTATAATATATTAACCAACAAATTTCATGTTTTCACTGGTAAAGATAAGACAGGCTTTTCAGATCACTTTCCCACTTTTTTAACTACTAAAAACATAGCACCAAACTATACCTCTCTTAAACCTCCTATATACAAACGAGAGATTAATTAAAACTTCTTACGAAAATTCAAAAGTTTACCAAAAAATAATGTTGATTGGGATCTTATATTGCAATCAAGCGATGCAAGTAACGCCTACGAACTTTTTATAGATCAATTTTAAAAATATTATGAAAAAGCATTTCCAGTCAAAACTGTTGTTATAAACAAAAAATCCCTTTTAACTTTTTGGATGTCTAAAGGTTTATTTAAATCCTCAAGAAGTAAACAAAAACTCTACAACAAATTTTTTAAAAAAAAAACTTATAAAAATGAAATAACTTACAAAAATTATAAAAACTTATTTGAAAAAACAAAACAATACACAAAAAAGCTTTATTATTCAAATTTGTTAGAAAAAATCAATGGAAATGCTAAGAAAACATGGAATACCATTCAAGAAATAATTGGTAATAATAACTGTACAAAAAAACAATCTGCCAAAAAAAATCTTGAATAAAGGCTAAATATCAAGGCAAAAATAGAAATTTCTGCTGCTAATTTGTAACCTTCAAATTTTCATAATGTAGGTTACAAATTAGCAGCAGAAATTCCTTCGAGTTCATTCTTACTTGATTAAGAACCTTACTTTAGAAAAGATTATGAAAGAAACACATCTAGATTCTAATGAATTGCGATCCGCTATAAACACTCTAAAAAATAACAAAAGTGCGGGCTTTGATAATATCAGTAGCTTTGTCCTAAAATCAGTATTTGATATCATTGAACCATCGTTGCATTACATATTTGAAATCAGGCATTTTTTTTTTTTTTTTTTTTTTTTTTGTGTAATTTGTTTCGCCGTTAAAGAATGTTTACATTGCATATACATATATTAAAATTAATGGCAGGAGCAAGAAGAAGGCACATTTTGCTTTATCGCCGAGCCCCACATATAAAAAAAAAAAAACTCTACATAACCGTAACATACAAATGTATATAATATAAATATATAAAATATAGGTCAGAATTAAAACAGAAAAAAACTGAGAAAATTAAGAAATTCAAAATAGCAAATAACTAAGAATTGTCGAAATGCTAGCAACCGCTAAAATGTTTTAAAATCATTTAAACAAGAAGTTTTAAATAAGAATAAAATTTCATAATTAACATTATCACAAGATGAATTTTTAACATCATTACTTAAATTTGATAGATATAAATAAATTTGTTTTTATTTGATTAAATTTTAAAAGAAACTTGTTTTGATTAATTTTTAATTTGTTCTAATGTAGTCTTGTTTTTGTTGACAATCTCTGGGAATTTTTTCCACAGATAAGGTCCGCGATATTTAATTGAATAGAATGTTAATTTTAAATTATACTTGAGAAAAACAAAGTTGTTATCAGAAAACTTTGTTGAATATTTGTGATTAATTTTATTAAAATAGGTTTGAAAAATTATTGGGGACAATCCCATTTTTGTTTTAAACATAAACAATAAAACTTGGTGTAAATTGAGTTTATACACATTTAAAGCACCGAGTGCACGTAAAAGTGGTTCGCAAGAAGTATTTCTGCAGGCTCCAAATACTATTCTGCATGCTGTTTTTGTTTGTTGTAGATTTTCTCAAGTTTTGTATAGCCAGTACTAGCCCACACAATATTACAGTAAGACAAATAGCTGCGAATAAAAGAAAAATACAGTTTTTTCAGGGATGCTACATTTAGCAAAGGTGTAGTCTTATAAATCATTGCGATATTTTTTGAGAGTGTTGTTTCAATACTATTTATATGAGAATACCACAGTAAATTTTCATCCAGTTTTACTCCTAAAAAGTTTACGTTTGTTTTCCTTTTAATATAAGTATTATTAATTATAAGATTTTGTAATTTTGTTAGATATGTTTTCTGATTTATTTACTTTATGGAAGAGTATATATTTTGTTTTATCCACATTTAATGAAAGTTTGTTACTTACGAAACATTCATTAACTTTACATAACTGTTCATTAACTATTTTGAAAAGTGTTTTAATATCTCTGTGAGAATAAAAAAGATTGGAATCATCAGCAAACAAAATTAGGTCTAAAAGATTTGTTGCTAGGTATAAGTCATTTATGTACAATAGAAATAAGAGTGGTCCTAAAATTAAGCCCCGAGGAACCCCTCAAGTTATGGAATATGGAATTGTGTTATTTTGATCATAATATAAAAATTGCTTCCGGTTTGTCAGATACCCTTTGAACCAAAGTAAGTTTTTATTTTTCACTACATAGTTTTCAAATTTTTTATCAGAATATTGTGGTTTACGGTATCAAAAGCTTTTGTCAGATTAATGAAAACTCCTAAAGTAAAACAGTCATTTTTAAAGGCGTTAGATATTTGATTAGAAAGTTCAACTATTGCATTTTCTGTGGAATTTTTTTTTTTTTAAAACCAAATTGCTTGCAATACAACATGTCGTTCTCAGTTAGATAATTATATAACCTATTATACATTATTCTCTCTAGCAGTTTTGAAAAGCAAGGTAGAATGGACATAGGCCTGTAGTTTAAGATATGTGACTTATCTCCAGATTTAAAAATTGGTGTTATACGGGCAATTTTTAGTTTGTCAGGAACAATACCTGTTTTAAATGAAAGATCAAAAACATGAAATAAAGAAGGTTCAATAATATCAAATACTGATTTGACAATATCAATACTAATTTTATCAAAACCTTTACTTTTTTTACTTTTGAGACTGCTAAATGCAGCACTCAGATCGCTAAGTTTTAAACTAGTTTCGTCCATAAGTTTGTCATAAGTTTTCAAGTATGAATCAAAAGGAGTGGAGTTAGATGGAATTTTAGCAGCCAATTTCGGACCAATATTGACAAAGTAGTTGTTTAGTTCAGCTTCAGCTATAATAGATTTATCATAAACTAATTTTCCATTAATTAAATGATTTTTTGGCAGAGTGTTTTTTTTGTAATTATTTTTTCCAATTAAATCCTTAATCATATTCCATACTTTTTTAGTGTTTCCGTTGTGTTTTTTTAATAACTGAGCATACTAAAGCTTTTTTGAGTATCTTTTTATTTTTTCGAATATATTTTTGTAATTTTTATAAGTTATTTCATTTTTATGAGATTTTTTTTTATAATACTTTTTATAATATATATAATTTTTCTTTCTTTTTTGAAGATTTTAGTAAGCCTATTGACGTCCAGGGATTTTGAAGTGATTTGGTATTTATGATTATATCTGTTTCTGGAAACGCTATTTCATATTGCTTGCAAAATTGACCAAGAAACAAGTTATAAGCATTGTTAACATCACTTGATTGCAAAATTAAATTCCAATCAACATTATATTTTTAACAGCATTTAAAATGCTTTAAGGAGTTTTCATTGATCTGTCGCCGAAATATTGTGGATTTTGTGGCAATATTGTTAATTAAAATGTTATTTGTTGCTAAGAATGTTGGAAAATGATCCGAAAAATCAGTCTGATTTATACCTGTGAAAAAAGGACTATTATAAAAACTGTTAGTTATGATGTTATCAAGTAGAGCAGAAGACTTTTTTGTAACTCTTGTTGATTTGTTTATTGTTGGAATAAAGTTTTTTTCTAAAAGAGTATTTATAAAATTCTTAGCATTATTATTAGAAGCATAGTTGATTAGGTTGATGTTAAAATCCCCGACCAAATATATATGTTTCCTGGAATTTTTAATTTTGTTTAGAAATGTTTTAAGATGAGTTTTAAATTTTTTCATGTTGCCAGATGGTGGTCTGTAAATATTATTTATAATTATGTTTTTTTCAGTTTTATTTACTATTTTAATGCATAATGACTCAAAATCTGTTTCATTAACACAGAGGTCGTTACGTAAAATATAATTAAGTGAATCATGGATAAAAATACTAACGCCCCCACCTGCATTAAATTCACGTGGTTGGTGAATTGATGCGTAATTAACTAGATCAAATTCATAATTTGTTTCACCACTTTTAAGTTTAACAAGTTTCCGTCAGACATATAATTTTAATATCGTGTTTAAGTTCATTTAATAATATTTTCGAATTTTCAATGTTTTTATTCAAACTTCGAACATTGATATTTAAAATTGAAAAAATGCTTTTATTTTTTTTAAGATGTTGCGAACATTCAGAAACGGAGTAATATTTACTTTCTAATATTTTGTGATAAAGAAAATTTGAGTCGATGTCATAATCACCGAAAATGTCATTTTTATCCGAAAATTTAATTACGAAATTTTCCTCCATTTTAAAAACAGTTAAATTTAAAATAAGTAATAGTAAAAATAAAATTCCATTAATTAATAAAAAATATTATGAAGATGAACTTTTGCTTTTCTTAGCAACCCAATCGCGAATTATCAATTTATCATAAGATATGAATGCAAACTTACCAGCTGCTCGTTCGATTTTCTTTTTTTCCCTCAAACCTTTTCGAATTTGCGTTGTTTCAGAACAGAAATCTTCGTTTATATAGATGTTTTTCCCTTTCAGATTGTTTGGCTTGCTCAAAATTGCAACTTTATCTTTAAAGGCATTGTCCCAGATAAACTAAAAATTACCCGAGTTATCCCTATTTTAAAATCTGGATATGATTTTGATACTAAAAATTATAGACCTGTATTAGTTTTACCATGTTTTTCAATATTACTAAAACGTGTCATGTATAATAGACTTTTTGATAAACAATTTTTTATACGGTAAACATTTTGGATTTAAAAAAAAACACTCAACAGACCATGATATAATTGAGCTAGTTAATCAAATATCTAATGCTTTTAGTAATGATTGCATTATGTTAGGGATTTTTATTGATTTTTCTAAAGCTTTTTACACCGTAAATCACAATATTCTTTATAAAAAAACTCGAAGTGTATGGAGTAAAAAATAATAAATAACTTTGGTTTAAAGATTACTTATCAAACAGAAAGCAATATATTCAGTATGAAATAACAAAAAACAACAAATAACGCCATATCTTGCGAGGTTTCCCAAGGCTCGATCTTGGGACCATTATAATTTTTACTCTTTATAAATGATTTATATTTAACATCAAACTTATTAAATTTAATCTTGTTTACGGATGAATCCATTTTGTTTATTCACATAAATATATTTAGACACTTTTTTAAAATAGTTAACAAAGAATTACATAAATTAAACGATTGGTTCAGGTGTAACAAACTCTTTTTAAATGACAAAAGGACCAAATTCATCCTATTTCCATATAAACACTTTAGAGAGAAAGCCCTTAAGAAATATTTCATTAATGTATAAAGCAAGATCTTTCTTAAACATCATTTCCTTAAAAAGTTTATACTTTTCATTAATACATAGTCACCTAAGCTATAGTATCATGGCCTGGGCAAGAACAAATTATACTAAGCTTAAAAAACTCTACATTAAACAAAAACATACCTGTATAATTGTCTTTAAAGTAAGTAAAAAAGTGTCATGTGAACCTCTCTTATGCAAACTTGGAGCGTTGAATATATACAAAATTAACATACATCTTGTTTTACAGTTTATGTATAAAATAAAAGATGGACTATCTCCGCCAATATTTCAACCCTATTTTAGAGAAATAAGGCATAAATACCTTCAAGATATTCATATAACAACTTTGTCATCCCAAAATTTACATTAAATTTAAATTCATACTCAATCCAACACCGCGGACGATATTTGCGGAAATTTTTTCCCTAGATTGTTACTATCAAAAGAAATACACTTGAACAGTTCAAATCTGAATCAAAGCATTTTTTTTTATCTACAGACTTAAGTTTTCTTTTTCTTTTTTAGTAAAATAATATAAACTAGCACAATTAATTTCTTTTATTTGCTTTAACTTTTACTTGTTCTAAATTTATTTTACAATACGAATTTTTGTATAAACAGTTATATCAATTGTGAAACGCAGTTTTACACATTTTTATATATTTTATCACAAGCATTTATCACGATTTTAAATATTTTATTGTAAAAAAACAACCTGTAATGAAGTCACAATGGAACTTGGTGATAAGACAAACTGATGTCTTCTTCTTGCTCCAGCCGTTTGTTTTATTATTTATGTTATTTTATAAATTGTAAATTTCTACGCCGAAATTATAACAAAATAAAAAAGAAAAAAAACTTATAACTTTGTTTTGCTTTGTCATTTAACTAAACTAAATCCGTGGTTTGACGCAAGTTCTAGCCCAACAAGCGACATTGGTATGGAAGGAGGCGTGAACTTCTTGTTAAATGATTTTTTTTTGACGCAAATCTTCTAATATCTATAAAACTTATTGTCCAGTTTTCTTAAGATACAGCAATAATTGCACTTTATATGAAGAATCAATTTTTTCTGACAAGAAACAACTTTAAACATTATTACACACTTTTATTAAAATTGATTTGGCATTTAATATAAATAAAATGATTTACATTTTAATAGTAGATTTTCTAATGTCTAATTTTTATGTTAATAATAGCACCACCTTATTTTATTTATTTTTTTTTTAACTACAAGGAAAACTCAAACCACATTCTATGAATCAGGCTAATAAGGATTAATATAATGTCTCAAAAAGCAAACAAACACTCTTCGCAAAAAAACATTGCAAAAAAAGTTTCACTCAAAAACGCCACGAAAAAGAATTGCGTTGTTCGTTGAAAATGAACAAAAAAGTACACAAAAGTTAAATAAAAATAAAACATCACAATAAAAGGCACATTAGGTTTTGAAAATTTTACTCCTTATTATGTTAGTTAACTATTTAGCAAATATGAAAGACAGTGGCGGGATCAGTTAACTAAATTAAATTAAAAAAATTATACAAAATAAGATTTTATCATCGAGGAATTGACGTCAAAGGGTGATTAAAATATTTTTTAAATAATAAAATATAAGCCAAAATTAAAAATTTACTTTAAACACCCATTATTGATAATGTTAATTTCACACGTCAGTAACCTTGTTCTATATATAAAGACGTGCCATTTCATCATTCAATTCAGATCTGCTGAACAATAGCGAAGCATTGCAATACAGATAACAGAAAAAATTATGGTAATAAAAAAATTTATTTTTTTTTTACTATTTTTTTCGAATTAAGTTAATATAATAATAAACAAAACACTAAATTTATGAATAACGTTTTCTTTTTAGAAATTGATAGTTGGTGTTGTTTTACTATTCGTGGTTACACATGGTGTATTAACCGATCAGCAAGGTAAATAAGAAAAACAATTGCTTTTAACTTCGCGTTTTGTTTATCTGTACGTGAATAAAATTTTTAGTAAACTCGCTCAAATTTTTATTCTAACTAAGGAATTTACTCCAAAAATGCCGAGTAATAGCTTAGTTTGACAAGAATGAAAATTTAATCAAAATTGCTGAATTTTTTATTCGCGTAAAGCTGACCAAATAATGAGAAATCTTGCATATATTTTGTTCACGCGGCCTTATATTTATTCAAAAATAATTAATAACGACATTAAGTCTTTTTTTTGTTTGTTTTTACAGATGATTATTTCCTCACTCAGCGTAGTTAAAGAGAGATCCAAAAGATTTGCATTTCCTAAAAACTACATTTTACATTTTTAAACTTTCCTCTTTTTTTCTTTTGTTTTCCGCTTATTTCGACAACTTCTGCCCCATAGTATTCACCTAAAATTTCAAAGTCTTAGATAGTAAAATCACTGAATATTTGTAAACAAAACAAAACAGCTAGCTTCGTGATTTTATTAAAAAAGTAAACCAATCAAAACGCACACAAAATGCAACGGCTTTTTTTGAAAACGAAAGGGCCTAAACGCAATATTTTTCTTCGGATCTTTGCTTAAATACGCTGAGCACTGAATCGTTTAAAATACCCAAAACAATAAATTATATTAATGAATACCTGAAATATTAAAGTTTTATAGAAACCTCATTTACCCGTTGGAAATAATAGAAACCAAAAAATAAAATAATAATAAATAACATTTCTAAGAAAGTTAGCACTTTTTTTGATTTTTAACTAAATATTAAAAATTGCTAAAATATGTTTTTATCTTTATAGTAGAGTTTATTAAAGATGAACAGACACTGAAGAAAAGTAACTTGGTTGCGGTTTTGCCAAAATTAGGAAAACAATTTTATATTTTTTTTCAAATAAAACTGAACAGTTTTTCACATGGTTATAGAAGTGTCATTCATTTGACTCTTGGAGAGGATAATGTAAAATACGGTGATCGAATTCCTGGCGTTTGGATTTATGAACAAAAGTTGCACGTAGCATTTGCAATAAGTGGTAATAAAAATGAGTATTTTTTTTCCAAGCCACTTCCATTGAACGAGTGGATATCTGTTGCTATATCTCAACATACTCATCCATTTGACCCTACTTTTGAAGTATTTATTAATGAAGATTCAGTATATCAAACAAAAAACTTAAACCAAAAAGAATTTACAAACATCAACGTATATGCTGGAGATCCATGGTATGAAGTCCAGGATGGCTCGATCAAACACTTCTTAATCTTTGACTTCCCTGTTGGTGAGTTTTGTTCACTTTAGTCTAAAGTTTTATTGCTAGTTATATTTTAAATGTTTTAAATGAAACTTTTAATTACATTGTATACTATATATCACGGGTTGTTAAAGCGATTAAGAATGATTAGATTAGATTAGACTTTTATTCGTCTTTGTTATCTAGAAATTTAGCAGTATGTTTTTGTACTCGAGTTTTATTGAATGTGAGTTTTCATAATTTTTGTCTAAATTTTAAAACTAAAAGGTTTTACGTGAAAGTTTTTGCTTCCTGTTCCAGTTTTATTGTGTTTTATCGTGTTCTATGGGGCAGAGATTGTAAATGCGGTTTAAGAGCAATTAGATTTTGATTGAATTACTAATAAGTTAAAAAAGATTTCATGTTACGGATTCTATACAACTACTATTTATAATACTGTGGGTTACTCTGTTATATAGAAAGCACAAAATATCTTAATTGAGTTTTAAATAAAGTATACTCCTAATCATAGCAATTGAAACTTGAATAAGGTGGATATAGAATAGTTTAATTGAGTTTTGAGCAAGACGGTGTTTGTTTTTGACATAAAATACTGCGTTGGTCTAATGCGGAATAAAATTAGAGCTTGATCAGGATACAAGTTATTGGACAACTATGATTTTTAAAAATTATTTAATAAAAAATGTGATTATAATGGTTCAGCATTGCTATATATAAAATGTTCCACTTATATTCAAAAATAATTAACCGCTATTAACAGGCAAATCGGTAATTCAAAACCGCTGGTAAATAAAAAAGACGGAACTTAACAAACTCTATTATATTATCGTAATATATAAAGGTCGCTATGTAGCTAACAATGTTTGTTTTTGTCTTATCAAAAAAGTTATATCAGTTTTATAATCTAAAGAAACTTTAAGATACTTAAATTACGTTGCAGTTTTTTACTGTTATATTATTAAAGATTGTATTTACCTGTTTTTATCATGGATACTTTATTCATTTCTTTTTCATTCTTTTACTTTTTATATTTAGTAACGAAAAAGAGTTTGAAAAAGGATGCCATACAAAAAAAGATGTTTGGGCTCAAATCTTAAAGTTGAAAAACGACATTTTTTTGCTTTGAATTCGTACTTATTTCAAATATCTTAAATATATCATTTTGTATTCTATTTATTATTTTGTAAAAATAACATTTTTTCTTTTTATTTCGATGGTGTTGGTCTTGAAAAAAAAATTAAAAAGTATTAATATTAAATACAAAAGAAAATTGTAGTTAATATGGTTTGTTAACTTAGTTATTAATGTTAAATACAAAAGAAAATTGTAATTATTATGGTTTGTTAATTTAGTTAATTATATTAAATACAAAAGAAAGTTGAAATTATCATGGTTCATTATCTTAGTTAATAAATCAGCAAACATTTTTCGTTGTTTCGACGTTAAAATTAGGTCAATTTTTTCGACGTCTTTCTTTTTACTAAAAATCGACGTGTTTTTGATGTTAAAATAGAGACATTGATTTATTAACCTGATTTGAACCTTACATGAACGTCGATAAATGACTAAATATCGTCGTTAATTTTATGACCAATATTCTACCTGTTTTCTACGTTATTATTACGTCATTATACTCACGTTAAATTTTAAACTTTGTTTCAACATATTTTGAACGTCAAAAATCAACCAAATATTAACGTTATAGTTAAGACCGTTTTTCCATCAGTTATTAACGTTATATATCAGACTCACGTTTAGACGTTACACATTAGACCGAATTTGAACCATATTTAAAAGACGATTCATGACCGAAGATTGCCGTTAATTTTATGACCAATATTCTACCTGTTTTCTGCGTTATTATTAGGTTATTAAATTCATGTTGAATCTCAAACGCGATTATTTGCGGCCAAAGTTTTTTTTTTCACATACATATACCACGCGATAAATTTTGTCGGTTTTGTTTTGTTTTGTTTTGTTTTGAATGTTTTAACGTTAAACGTGTTAGTCTACACAAAAAAAAAAAACAATTGCATTTTTGTATAAACGAGTGATTTATGTTGAAAAGTAAAAATTTTTACGATGAAACCGACAAAACTTATCGCAGTCTGTAAAAAATAATTAAAAAAATTAATAACTGACTATTTTACATATACAAATGTAAGTAGTTTATAAAAAGATGTTAGTTTGAAGAATTGAAATAGCAATAAGTAAAAACAAATGGAGGTGAGTTCTTTTGTCAATTAATTTATGTACACAGGTTATATATAAACATTATATATAAATATATAAAATATACATATACTATATATGTACAGGGTTGCTTTCCTACCGGTTCGTGCAAACCGTTAGATGTAAATTCTATGGTTCGTGCGAACCGGCTATTAAAATAAGCGAAAATAAAATATTTTACTTTAGCAATAAAAAATTGTTTAAATAAAATTTATTTACCATTTGGTGCAATTTTATATAAACAGTTTGAATATTTTATCTAGTTTTCATTGCGATTCTAATTTTTTACTTTATAGAAATCTTTCAGTTAATTAGTCCTCCCATCCCCTTTTTATTTAGATTTCTCCTAATATGTAAATTACCAGTGTTTTCATTGGTTGATTTTAAAGTTAACGCGCGTTTTTTCCGGACCGTTAGTAACAGTTTAGAAAAGCTAACATTAACATGCACGTGTAAAATATCAAAAGTATGTATTCGTAATAGTTGCTGAGGTTTTTAACATTGTTTAAATATCCATTGTATTTTTTCTAGATGCATTACTACTTTAATTAAAATTTGGAATTACTTAACTAAATTATTTTTATTTATAATAGCTTGGTAATTTGTTAATCAAACAATAAATAATAAATGTAACAAACTATTAATGTAACTTAAAAGAGTGTTACAAAAGTAACAACACTGTAGTGTTATTACTTTGGTAGTCATAAATTTATTGTTTTGTTTTTCATAACATTTTTACTAACAAATTAACAAGTTTATTCGCCTTAATTCCGTAAATTTCGTGGTTTTCCATAAACTGAAACTTTGATGACCAGATAATTTCACAGATATCGCAAATCGCGATGCCTTAATTTAATCCTTGTGTGTTGTTAATATATATTTCTGATAATTTTTCTTTAATAAAAATATAGCTTTGTGTTAAAGTTATTTGGTTACTGGTCTGATATACACCTTTTTATGAATTTTTAAATACCTATTTTATTTTTTGTAGATGAAGAGACAAAATATGTTAACCACATATTTCTCGAAAAAAATAAGAGAGGAAACATCAGTAAATAATGATAGCAGGTCGACTATAACAGAGGTAAAAGCAGTTTCAAGAACTTTACAGGAAGAAATACTAGAGATTCCTAGTTCCCAAAACGAGGACAATAATATTTTACCAAGCTGTTGGAATGCAAAACAGTTGAAGGAGTTTAAAATTAAATATGATGGGCTTTTTTTCAGTAATCAGCTAATATCTCAGGAATGAAAAAAATGTAACGTTACGACATCGGGGAAAGACAAAATGGTGCAACAAGCATCTTTAAGAAAAAAAAAGATAGAACATTTTGTATCAAAAGCACACAAACTAGCTGTTGAACATGCTAAGATACTTAAAAAACAAACTTTTACGGCATGCATCTATAAGATGAACGAAAAGTTTATTAGTTCTACTACAAGAATCTTCAACACTGTTTACAGTATAACGAAAAGAAATCGTTCATTTTCAGACATACAAAGTGTAATAGAGCTTCAAGTAAAAAACGGGTAGGATATGGGAACCGGACTTCATTCTCGACATAGTGCAAGTAAGATAGTAGAGCATATCGCGCAAGAAACTAAAAAAGCATTGTTTATATCAATTATTGAAAATAATTTAAAAACTTGTACTGTTATTGATGAAGCTTCCACCATTTCCAGTAAATCAACGCTTATAGTTTTCATCAAAAAAGAATCTTCTACAGTAACATCTTCTAAAATATCCCTAATAATATTCGTAGGTATTGTGGAGCTTGACACACAAGATGCAAATACTATTTTTCAAAGTTTGTTGGGTGTATTACTTGCTATTGGAGTTGATACAAATTATTTAAAACTGAATTTAATAGGATTCTGTTCTGACGGTGCAAGCGTAATGCTTGGTTGTAAATCTGGAGTCAGCGTACGAATAAAAGAGATGTTTCAAAATGTTATTATTTGGCACTGTTTCAATCACCGCCTACAACTTGTTTTAGATGATTCCATAAAAGATATCAAACAGGTTAATCATTTTAAAGTTTTCATGGACAAAATATATTGTATTTTTCATCAATCTAATAAAAACCAAAAAGAACTGAATGATATTTCCCAGGAGCTTAGTTTGGATATAATTAAGATTGGAAGAGTGTTAGGACCAAGATAGACAATGATCTGCACTTGCTGAATGGCGGAGCTACCCTGCTTTGTATACGTTTTTCTCTTCTAACCAAAAAATGTCTGGAATGGCAAAAAGACTACAAAACAAATGTTTTCTAGTATATTTAACTCTAATAATTGACATGCTACAGGAGTGCTATCTACTATCTAATGCCCTTTAAGCTAGAAATATAAATGTTGCCAGGGGAGATCAACTGATTAGAAGAACAATTAACGCTTTTCAAATGCTCAAAGATCGTCGCGGTCATTACGAAAAAAAAGTGGGAGAAGTTATAAACTCTGAAACATTCAAAAACATTATCTTAATCGAAAACAGAATTTATGGAAATCTTCCCAGAGATTCCCTTATTGACAGCATCATAAAAAATATGAAATTAAGATTGATGGATTGTTCTCATCTCGGATCAAATAGTAACAAAAAATATATTGATAATAGCATTACTTATGAACTAGCCAATTTGCTAGAGCCGAGCACATGGAAAATTGAAGATATTGTAGTTCCGTGGATAGAGGCCGAAAATAATTTTGATAAATTTCGAAAATTTTTAAATTTTGATATCAATAAGAATGATTTCCGTGATAATATAGAAAATGTAATAAACAATGGTCATCAAAAAATTAGTAAAATTGCAGAAAACATTTAAAAAGCAAAAAATATGGTGAATACGGTTGCCGTTAGCAGTGCTGAAGCAGGACAAGGATTTTCATTGATGAACATCATAATTACTGATATAAAGGCCAGATTAACAGTGCAGACAGTATCAAATTTGATGACATTAAACTTAGTTGGTCGTCCATTGGAAAATTGGAACGCAGTTCCCTATGTAAAAACTTGGTTGAGGAACAATAACTCGGCAGATGATATAAGGGTTAAAAAATATAAACCGAAAGAATATACTGAAAATCAATTAGCTATTTAAAAATATTTTAAATAATATAATTACTTTATAACAATAATATTTACTAATATATGAAATTTCACAAATTTTTGTTATGTTCAGTTTCTTTTTATGTAAATTTTGTCTCTCGAAATAAATGAATAAAATAAAAGTAATTTTCACCTCGTTGAATTATTTTTTTATTCTATTTTATCCTATTATATTATTGTTGCAAAGAATATGAACGATAATTCATATTCTTTGCAATATATATATATATATATATATATATATATATATATATATATATATATATATATATATATATATATATATATATATATGTATATATATATATATATATATGTATGTATAAATATATATATATATATATATATACATATATATATATATATATATATATATATATATATATATATATATATATATATATATATATATATATATATATATATATATATATATATATATATATATATATATATATATATATATATATATATATATATATATATATATATATATATATATATATATATATATATATATATATATATATATATATATATATATATATATATATATATATATATATATATATATATATATATATATATATATATATATCCTTCCCGAAGATTGTCGCACTTTATATCAAACTCCAAAATCTACATCATGGGTTGAGAAATGTGGTGGTACATATGCTGACTTTGGGATTAAAAGTGGATTAATGAAAACAATTATTAACAACATTTTATTTTTAAACCAAAATAAAGACATTGATTTAATAATTAGTATTGATGGTCTTCCCTTTTTTAAGTCGTTAAATTTACAGATGTGGCCTATTTTAGCTAAATTTGATTAGTATGATGTATTTATTGTGGCATTTTTTGTGGAAGTTCAAAGCTGACATCTTTAAATGACTATTTGCATGATTTTAAAATGGAAGTTGTTATTTTTTTACAAAATGGATTTAATTTTAACGATAAAAAAATAAAAGTTAATTTAAAGTGTTTTGCATGTGATTTTCCTGCCAGAGCATTCCTTAAGTCAATTGTAAGTCATTCGGCATTCCATTCATGCGAAAGATGCGTGATAAAAAGATCTTGCAGTGGAAGAGTTGTTTTTAATTCTCATGCTATACACGAGGTTTGGACAAACCTTAAATTTCCTTTCATTGGTTATCCGGATCATCAGAAACCATCAACACCTTTGATAGATTGTGGCGTAAACTGTGTAACAAATTTTTCTCTTGACTACATGCATTTGGTATGCTTGGGGGTTGTGAAACGCATAATAAAGTTTTTTAAAAGTGGTCCTCGACGTAGTAAAATATAATTTGGGCAAATATCGCAGATGTCTAAATAACAAACTGAGCTACGTGGGCATCTACCAAAAGAGTTTGCTCGCCAACCTAGGCCATTGTTAGAAATGGATAGATGGAAAGCTACAGAATACAGACAATTTCTTCTCTATACTGGTCCTTTAATTTTAAAAGATATTATATCACCATCCATTTATAAGCATTTTCTTGCTCTCAGCATTGGAATAAGTATAATGTTGGATTCAAATGACGAAAAAAGACCAAAGCATCTTATTACAGTAAGAAGTTGTTAAAGTATTTTGTTAGTAATGCTTCTTTAATATATGGAGATACAATGTTTGTTTACAAAATAGTAATGCTTCTTTAATATATGGAGATAAAATGTTGTTTACAATGTTCATGGGCTCATTCATTTGAATGAAAATGTTAGCAACTTCAATTGTTCTCTCAATGATGTATCATGTTTTAAATTTGAAAACTACATTCAAAAAGTCAAAGGTTATGTTAGAAAAATTAGCAATCCTGTTGTGCAAATGACAAATAGACTAGCAGAAATTGATAAAATAAAAGATAAATGGTATTTTAAACAGAGATTTTTCACTACAATCTCAACTAGATCAAAGGATAATTGTTTTCTGTTAACAAACAAAAACGTTGCTTTTATTAGAGAAATAAACAATTGTGGAAAGTATGTATGTGATGTGGTGAAAATTCGTGATATAGTTAATATATTTACCTCACCAGCAGAATCCAAATTATTTTAGATTGGTGTTGTTCATAGTTTTACTAGAACAATGAGAAGAATTGTGAAAAAGACATGAACTTCAAAGAAAAGTTGTGTCACTTCCATACAAAGGAGGTTATGCTCTATTCCCAATGCTTCATGATGCTGAACAGTAATAGCGCTATGGTTTATCTTTGGTACATATATATATATATATATATATATATATATATATATATATATATATATATATATATATATATATATATATATATATATATATATATATATATATATATATATATATATATATATATATATATATATATATATATAAATATATATATATATATATATATATATATATATATATATATATATATATATATATATATGTATATATATATGTATGTATATATATGTACGTATATATATGTATTTTTATATAGGTATGTATATATATTAGGTTAGAAGAATTTCTAAAGTGGGTGGTGTGAATGTAAAAGAAGTCTTTTGGCTTCAAAATAAGCATTTATTACTACAAAACATAACTTTCTAAAATTCACTTGAATAATAGTTTATTCTGACATAACTGATATTGTTTTTCATTAACAAGATGGAAATAATAAACACTTTCTTAAATAATTCTTTTAGTTATTCAAAGCCAAAATACAAAAACAACCTCTTGATTCTAAACACATAAAGAGCAAGTGGTACATAAAACAAATTCTTCTCAATATTTGATTCTTCACAAATGCTTGCTGTTGTAGTCCACAACACATGAAAGAAGCCTCTTTGCATACTCAGGATGATTGCGGTCTCTTTTGTATCTCTGCCAATGTGAGCTGAAATTATGATGCATTGATTCTGTTGCCTGCTCACTAAAGATCCTCAAGGGGGCCCTTTTGATCTCAATGAATTGCTTTACATGGAAGAAAACAGCATGAACTTTTGGAGTTACACTGATGTTCATGATTGCCAAATATGAGTCTCTGAAGCGATCAATTTTTTCAGAAAAGTCATCCTTCAGAACCATACCAAAACATGCTGTCACCACAGACTTAAACTTTCGAAGGGCATCAATGATTCCAAAGACTTGAAAAGCAGACTCAGTCTCTGCAATTCTTTGAAGGAGGTCAAGATTGCTGAGAAGCTTGTGACAGGCATTCTCTGGAAACTGCCCACCATGGTATGGTTCTTGTTGAATGTGGAGAGCTGAGGGCCACTTGACAACATTGGGCCAAACCTCAGTCATGGCTTTGTACATGTGATTGACCACACCAAGGAGAAGATAGAGTTCCATTGATGGTATGAGCTCCAAGATGAGTTTGTTTTCAGAACCAGATAGCATAGGCTCATGCACTACATTGCCAAAAGATTTTGCCTTTTTGATATCACCACCAGACTTAGCAAACTCTTGATAACAGGCAACAAGTGAGCCTAGTGTCCTCAAAGATCCTGATTGAGAAAGATGCTTTGATTCTGTGTTGCACCAAGAGCAAGTGTGAGTACTTGCATGGCTCTGAAGGCCACAAAGGATGTTAGCAAGTTTCATGTCGCATGAGACAACAAAGTTGACTTTGTCTAACTTGATTAAATACAAGATTTGCCTCACATTTTCAAAGTTTTCTGGTAGTCCTTCTGATAAAGCCACAAGCATTTGACGCTTTACACTACGGTCTTTGGCAGTCCTCTGAGTTAAAAGTTTTTTCTGTGGTGGTGACCTTGAATCACAGTGAGAATCCAACTCCATGATGCCAAGAGAAACTTTCAGAAATCCTCCACCTCCATCAATTCCCAACTTGACAATATGATTCTGGAAAACTCTTCGAGAAAGCAGGACTTCATTCAAAAGCTTGGCAAGAACCTTGCAATGCACAACCACAAAGTCAGTGGAGTTACTCTCTGATAAAACTTGGATGCTGGATTGAGTAAAAAACTCAGACAACTGTTTGCCAATGGCTTCAAACTTAGCAAGAAAACTAGTCTCAACAATCTTGGTGTCACTGACTCTGTTGATGGTTGAGGCCAATATCTTCATGCTAATGTTGGACAGTCCTGTGTTTAGCTGAACTTGTACAAGATCTTCAGTTTTGATGCTGGGTTCAGGAAAAAGAGCTCTTGCACTTGAGCTTCCTAAAAATGAAATTATATTAACACTTTTTGTAATTTTAAGTTTTAAAATTAAAGGTATTCCTTCTGAACCTGCAATCTTTATATGTATATATAAAAGTATCACCTGTTTTAACTCTAAGTGGTGGACCGCCTTTAGGATGCGATATTTTGACATTAACACCAGGTGTGGAAGATTTAGTAGAAATGACTTGAGTAGCTATTTGCTCTGCAGCGAGTGGATCAGCTGTAATGTATTGCTTGAGATTCTCTCTAAAAGTGAATGGAGTGCACTGATGTGGCAGACCTCTTCCAACTAGACTCAAACAATCACCACATCTTTGAGGGGTACAATCTTCCACAGGTTTAGAATAGTCCACTGGGCTCTTCTCATTCAACTTCAAATGTCCAACTTGACAAATAAGACAGTTGAAACCTTGATCTCTTGTTGGTGGTCTAAATTTTATAGATGAGAAAGGAAACAAAGGTGGCAGGTTAACATCTTTTCCTTCATCTTTTCTCTGAACAATTGTTCGACAAGAGTCACAAATGCCTCTTGGCACTCTGGTATCAGTCAAATCAAGACTTGTATGGTAATGCTTGAGGATCTTTTCAACAAGGAACTTTGTCAACTCTTGAGAGCACTTCAGACACAAGACACAGACAGATTTCCGACAATCTTCATGATTTTTTGAATCTTTTGAATTTTTTCTCACACAACAGATAAGTGAAACACTTTAAATAAACATGTTCACTGCCAATTCCCTGGAGTTTTAGCTTGTTTACAATTTTGATGCAAAACTTAAAACAAACATGTTCACTGCCTATACCCGAAATTTTCGGCTTGTTTACAATTTTGATGCAAAACTTAAAATAAACATATTCACTGCCTATTCCCGGAATTTTTAGCTTGTTTACAATTTTGATGCAACAAAATGTTTATAATATATTTCAACCATGAAATTGTAGGTAAAATTTTATCTTCTGAGTTAAAATAAATACAAATTATACTTGCTATATAGACTGTTATGTTTTAGTGTAATAAATGCTAATTTTGGAGAGTTTTTGAATGCTGTAAAAATGCAAAATTTGAAAAGCTGTCATTTTGCCCTATTGTGCAAAGTACTAAAAACTAAAAATCAAAATTATTTTCTTGGACGAAACAGTTGAATTTCAAATTTTACAATTTTGGAGTCAGGAAACATTGTAGTTTCACACTGTCGAAGCGGTTTTCTCGGGTCAGCTCAAAGTAGTTTTTGGTCATTTTTTACAACAGTGATATATATATATATATATATATATATATATATATATATATATATATATATATATATATATATATATATATATATATATGCCAAAGACCGTAGTGTAAAGCGTCAAATGCTTGTGGCTTTATCAGAAGGACTACCAGAAAACTTTGAAAATGTGAGGCAAATCTTGTATTTAATCAAGTTAGACAAAGTCAACTTTGTTGTCTCATGCGACATGAAACTTGCTAACATCCTTTGTGGCCTTCAGAGCCATGCAAGTACTCACACTTGCTCTTGGTGCAACACAGAATCAAAGCATCTTTCTCAATCAGGATCTTTGAGGACACTAGGCTCACTTGTTGCCTGTTATCAAGAGTTTGCTAAGTCTGGTGGTGATATCAAAAAGGCAAAATCTTTTGGCAATGTAGTGCATGAGCCTATGCTATCTGGTTCTGAAAACAAACTCATCTTGGAGCTCATACCATCAATGGAACTCTATCTTCTCCTTGGTGTGGTCAATCACATGTACAAAGCCATGACTGAGGTTTGGCCCAATGTTGTCAAGTGGCCCTCAGCTCTCCACATTCAACAAGAACCATACCATGGTGGGCAGTTTCCAGAGAATGCCTGTCACAAGCTTCTCAGCAATCTTGACCTCCTTCAAAGAATTGCAGAGACTGAGTCTGCTTTTCAAGTCTTTGGAATCATTGATGCCCTTCGAAAGTTTAAGTCTGTGGTGACAGCATGTTTTGGTATGGTTCTGAAGGATGACTTTTCTGAAAAAATTGATCGCTTCAGAGACTCATATTTGGCAATCATGAACATCAGTGTAACTCCAAAAGTTCATGCTGTTTTCTTCCATGTGAAGCAATTCATTGAGATCAAAAGGGCCCCCTTGAGGATCTTTAGTGAGCAGGCAACAGAATCAATGCATCATAATTTCAGCTCACATTGGCAGAGATACAAAAGAGACCGCAATCATCCTGAGTATGCAAAGAGGCTTCTTTCATGTGTTGTGGACTACAACAGCAAGCATTTGTGAAGAATCAAATATTGAGAAGAATTTGTTTTATGTACCACTTGCTCTTTATGTGTTTAGAATCAAGAGGTTGTTTTTGTATTTTGGCTTTGAATAACTAAAAGAATTATTTAAGAAAGTGTTTATTATTTCCATCTTGTTAATGAAAAACAATATCAGTTATGTCAGAATAAACTATTATTCAAGTGAATTTTAGAAAGTTATGTTTTGTAGTAATAAATGCTTATTTTGAAGAGTTTTTGAATGCTGTAAAAATGCAACATTTGAAAAGCTGTCATTTCGCCCTATTGTGCAAAGTACTAAAAACTAAAAATCAAAATTATTTTCTTGGCCGAAATAGTTAGATTTCAAATTTTACATTTTTTGAGTCAGGAAACATTGTAGTTTCACCCTGTCAAAGCGGTTTTCTCGGGTCAGCTCAAAGTAGTTTTTGGTCATTTTTTACAACAGTGATATATATATATATATATATATATATATATATATATATATATATATATATATATATATGTATATATATATATATATATATATATATATATATATATATATATATATATATATATATATATATATATAATATATATATATATATATATATATATATATATATATATATATATATATATATATATATATATATATATATGTATATATATATGTATGTATATATATGTACGTATATATATGTATTTTTATATAGGTATGTATATATATTAGGTTAGAAGAATTTCTAAAGTGGGTGGTGTGAATGTAAAAGAAAATATTGCAAACGTTTTAAATAGGTATATTACTTGTTTTTACTATAATTAGTTATATAAATATATTTTGAAACTGTCAAATGTATATTTTTTATAGTTTTAAATACTTTATGATAATTTTAATAAAAATATAATATACAGTGTATATCTCAATACATTATTTATTTAATTCCCTCAAAATGGTGTATGCATTTATCCCGCCCCCACACTAAATTTTTTTAAACAGAATACCAAGCAAACAATGTCTATCCACAGTGCCCACAACTATCCTCAGCTGTCCGAAATTTAAATATTGCTATGTATTTGACGTCGAAACTGAACAGCATTAAGACGTCAAATCATATTCAATTTTCAACGTCGAAAAAAGACGGTGCTTTGTTCTCAGATTTCTACGTAATTCCGTCTTTCAATTCAATACTGTTATTTAACGTCAAAACAACGTTAATTTAAGACTTAAGAAAGTAACAAATAAATTTCTAATTTCCACATATTTTTCTCTGTTATAATTATTATGTCATAAAAGAAACTTTGCGTGCAAAAAAAAAAAATTGTTTAAAATGTTTAAAACAACAACTCTTCATAAACTTATAATAACTGTTATAATACAATATCTTATGGTATTGTACTGCATATTTTGTTTTCAATTTACTAATTTTTTCTTATTTCAGGTCTCAAAGGTTCTCAATGGCAAGACTTCTTTAAGTCTTCTGCGAGTTTCCTTACAACATCACAATTGCTTCATCAAATTATCTTATCAAATTTCTTATCATAAAAGATATAAAACATATACTTTGTATTTAACACAGTGTGACAATATATTTTTAACGATTTATATATAAATGCATTTACTATTGTTTCCTCTATGACTATGTATTATGTCAAAAAAAGAAATTAAAACAATAGTTTATAAAGTTGTAAAAAATCATGAAGAAGAAAAAGAAAAAAAAAAGTTAAGCATTTGTTTAGTTGAACCGTCATCCTTGGTCCCCTGGAGGGTCAAGATATCTGTAATTAACTGTATTTATATATACACGTATGCATATAATTATTTACATTTATGTATATATACATACATTGGTATATATATCGGCATGAGACGAGGAAAGAAATATAATATACATACCAATAACACCATATAAATACTTAAAATCCATTCTCTTTTGTTTGCTTTGTCTTAGATCTGGTCAAGTTTAACTTTGTTTTTAATTTGTTTGCCATTAACCTGCGAAATCATAATAAATTAAATCTAAAAAATAAACACTAAAAATACAATCAAACCACAAATAAATTAAATTAACGAAATTCTCAATTCACAAATTAACAAAAAACAATGAAATCATGGCAAAAAAAAGTATTAATCAAAATCTTAGTTAAGGTGGTAGCAGGGTGAAAAAAAGGTGTTTTCAAAAACTAGATTTTTGAGACCTCAAGGGTATTTTTTTTTGTCGAAACTTGATTTGATTTAGGAAAACTTATGTTTCATACAAAACTTATGTTTCATACAAAATTTACCCTTCTAGATAAAGGTATTTAAGTTCTTAGGCCATTGCAGTGCTTTTTTTCAAATATCTCTGGATTAACACCTGATCAAGGTATCTAGTTTTCACCTAAAAGGTTTCTTTTTATTCTTTAAAATATCTTTATTTATTCAGTTTATAAGCTATATACTGAAGCTCTAAAAACCATTCTTGACTCCTTAGACCATTAAAACTGAGTTTGGTAAAATGAAAATAACTTTTTTATAAATTTCATTTATCTCCAAAATTTCTATATTAGTTATAAGAAAACTAAATAGTTGAGACTAATATGAGTATAATCGGACATAAATTGGTCAAACTAGACAAATTTTCCATAGTTTTCCATACTTTAAATTTTTTATTTCAAACATTGTTTTGTAGTATTCCTTTCAAAATTGTTATTTCTAACTTATTAACATGCTATTTCAAAGGAGTTGATCTGGTGAATTTATTACATAATATTAACATACAAAAAATAAAAATATCACTAAATAGTGTTATAATGTGCTTTCGTGATAAATATTGGCATACTTTTTCTTAACTGCAGGCGGACACGTATCATACCTATATCATAATCTCTTTTTATTTCGCCGCAATACGAGGCAAAAATAGCTGTCGCCATCTTTACACGAACGTCCTACAGCTTAGATGTGGCAGGGCAACTTTTCCGAAAAATTACTTAGTTTAACGCGATTCTCTTTTACTTCTTTCAGTTCCTCGTCAGCGAGCTTCACTGTTAATGGTTGCTCTGTCCGTTGTGTAATACTCCAATCAATCACCATGTATTATTTACCGTAAAAATGAGTCACAACTTTGAATTGCCGCATACTAGTTTTATTAGCGTTCTTACTTCTTTTTTTTTCTAGCTCTGTGTATACGCCTAACACCTAAATCTTGGATTTGTGGCCACTCATCTGATATCATTGCCAGAAGAATTTTTTCCTAATGACAAAAGTATGCATATGTTTGAATAACTTTGTCTAATTCTTTACGTAATGCATCTGGCAGATACCGTGATTTGATTATTGTGTGGTAAAGATGCATGCTGCCATGAAAATAGAAAACTCCTTTTTAATGATGAACCCACAGGGGCTTAAGTACCCATAATTTTTGTTGCTATAGCTACTAAATTTAGTGAACGACTGGTAGTAGAAATATATAATCTGAGTATCCTATTGGCAGTGGTGAGACTTTTAAAATAAGCCAGTTTTCCAGGGATGCGCTTTTCCAGCTTGAAAGAACAAGTGCCACTTAGTACATTTTGGCAGATGTCAAAAAGGTAAAGCTGATCTGTACAACCTTTAAGATCTCATAAGTTTTTAGGGACTTTCCAATGTTTAAAAATCAGAATTTTTCAAGCTGTAAAATAAAGTGTCTTGTAGTAAGGTCAGTATGTTTATATTTAGTAAGTAACTTATGTCAATTGGTAACTAATGTCAAATTTATTATTTTTACTACTAAAACTTTTATTTTTTGTTTTTTTACTATAAAATGCACAAAGTTATTTACTTTTTTTAATGAAAGAGAAGGGAGAGTCTATCGCATTTGCTTTAAAGATGGTAACGATGATGATGGATTGTTTCCATCTTTAACAGGCTGAATTAAAGTACTGGGTGTTGCAGGAGTAATATAATCTATTTTTAATTTTTTGAAAACCCAAAAAATGTATGATCTGCTTTAGACCATTCTATTTACTGAAATTTACTTAGCAAATTTTTTAGTATATTGTAGCATTATCATAGTATAAGTAAACATAGCAATGTATTAAACTCTATATAGAGACATAACATATCAAAACAAACCATATTCATAATTAATATTCTTAATAAATATATTATACATTATAACGAATTTTTTCTTCAATTTCAAATAATATTATTAAATCAAGACGATATATTCTTACTAACATTTAAAAATATCGTTTGTATTAAAACTTCAAGCAGAGCATGTATCTTATTCCATTTTATGCCTAATATTCTATTATTTCAATTGATATACCGTACTTTAAATGTGTTTTAAAAAGTTTCAATAAATTTTTTAATACAAAAGTAATTAGTTTGGTCAGAATACTAATGGATAGTTCAAAAATACTTAATATGTTTTCACTTTTTAACTTAAAAAAATAATTTTTAATGTAAAATTTGCATTACCGATAATAAGTAGTATTAGTCAAAAATTGCTGCAGAGGGTTAATTCTTGTCCAATTTTGCTCATTTCGGTCTGGTTTTTTTAGTTTTTTAATATGAATTAGCTTATGATTTTTATATTATAGCTAATATAAAAATCAGAGAGAAAAGTCGTTTCTCTGAAAAATGTTATTTTTTGAATTTATATTTTATGACTTTCTTTTTGTATTTTTTCTTTAAAGTCTTAGCAACACTTGTTAAATCATTTCGGGTATCACTATTTTGTGTAAAAGCAGCAATATTTGATAAGTCATGAGGAGTTATCGTTTTTCCAGTCTCCTTTGAAAATTAACATTAAAATTAAAGTAGCTTTAATTAAAATTAATTAAAATTATAATTAAATATAATAATTAAAATTAAAGTAGCTTTATGCTAGCTTTTAAGCGTAACAAGTTTTCTGCTTAATTATGAAGTCTTCCTTGATTTGGTAAGTGCTTATTCAAAATCTATATTGAAAATCAGCTATTATATTCATTATAATCAAGAAAATACCTTGAACTTAAAATCGAATATACTTTCTAACCACAATATCTTTCTAGGTAATGGCATTCACAAAATGTTATAAATTAAAATCCAGAATATACATATACTTTATGATTATGTTGATTGTTTAAATCATGAAAAACTAATGTTTGCCCATCCTATGATGCTTTAAAACTTATGAAGAATAGACACTCTTTCTTTTTGTCCGATATAAATATTTTCAAAATATTTGTAATTTTTCATAAAATAAATATGCTATCCTTTGATATATATATATATATATATATATATATATATATATATATATATATATATATATATATATATATATATATATATATATATATATATATATATATATATATATATATATATATATATATATATATATATACATATATATACATATATATGTATATATTATATATAAGCAAATCATTTAACACCTTTAAATGCTCATAGAATCAAGTATACTTGATTCATCAATAGTATATAAATATTACTTTTAAACTATTTATATATACTATTTTATATATAATATATAAAATAGCATATATAAATAGTTTAAAAGTAATATCTATATACTATTGATGAATCAAGTATACTTGATTCTATGAGCATTTAAAGGTGTTAAATGATTTGCTTGTTGTGCAGATTTACTAGTAAATCTGAACAACATGCCAATCATTTAACACCTTTAGCCCAGCTAAGATAATTTTTTTTAAAGCATTTACGTTTCATAATATATTGTAAAACAAAAATATATTTACTACATATTAATATTTAGTAAATATATATTTTTCAGTTTACCCAGTTTCAGATTTCAATGATTTAAAAAGTATGACCCACCTTTGCTTTATAAATCAGGAATTTAACTTTTTCAATATGAGTAATCCCTCGAGATAAAAAAAAATTATTAATCAAATTTCCCATAACTTTCATAATTTCACATATAGAGGCACCATAAAAAAAAATTACAAAATGTTGAAAGTTTAATTTACCCCATTGTGTATTTAGCTATAATTTTTTCATTTAGAAATTTAGATCTAAAGTGTAGTAATTTCATAGTTTATTTATTTGTAATGCATCATTTTATTCAAAGCGTACAAAAAACCAAAAGATAGCTGCTGTGGTTGCAGAAATATTGAGTAGTGCATGTGTGAATACACCTAACTTGCATGTATCAACCTCACAACAATGATATAAATGAATTAGATTTGCATATTAATATAGACGGTTTGCCAATTTTTTAAAGCTCAACAAATAGTTTGTGGCCTATACTTTGCTTCGTTAAAAATTCTGGATGGTGTCCATTTCCAATTGCGCTATATTTTAGTAAAAGCAAACCAACTTCTCTTGATGATTTTATGGAAGATTTTGTTTCAGAAATGATTATACTAGAGAAGACAGGGTTTAGAAAAAATGACAAATGTTACTCTGTCAAGTTAAAGTAGTTATTTGTGATGCACCAGCACGAGCTTTTATAAAGTGCATCAAACCTCACAACGCTTATAATTTCTGTGAAAGGTGTGTACAAACTGGAGAATGGCTCGGAAAAGTTGTTATGCCTAATCTATTTGCTGTTTAAAATAAAAATAGGTTTGTTGTAATCCCTCAGATGCACTTTTCCTAAAGTTAATATATTTGATGAAATCTTGGTCTACAATTACAAATGTCTTATGTATTAATTTAAACAGTTTTACATTTATATAGTATTTTATAATAATCATGTTCTATTTGCTATTATTACATTTGCAATTGCATATTTTATTTTATTGTTTTTGTGAATAATGTGCTTCTCTTTTTCTATTTTCAAGTTATCTGCTTCTTTTTTCTTTTTTTTTGAAATAGTTTAAATTATTTTTAAAAAAATTTTATTTTAAAGTACTTATTACTAAAAAGTTTACTTTTAAAAACTATTATTATAAAATTAGTATTAAATAAAAAATACATAGTTACTATATTACAGTATATTAAAAAGTTTTAAAACATTTCTTATGTCATAAGTTATAAAACATTTATTTAGTATTTAAATATTTTTGCAATTGTTGCTTTTGAAAACACTTGCAAAACAGATTATGTTCCGTTGAAATGGCTTGAGGGAGTGGAAGCTAATAATATCCAGTTAATGATTACAAATCATACATCAGTAAAATGCGATTGGCCACCATTCAAAAATCCAAACACTCTAAAGCAAAAAATAACAGCCATGATGCAGAGATAAATTGGCCGATATATAAGGCAAGAGTGCTGAGATTAGCTGGTAAATTTATTTTGCATATTATTTATTTTTTAATTTTATGTGACTTTTTTTTTTTACCCGTTTTTATTTGGATACAAATTTTTAGACTGTTTGAACAATGCTCGTCAAAAAGCAAAAATGGCAGAAGACACATCTAGTTTAGAAAATGTATTTGAAGAGAGAATAGAAGAAATTCCAGGACTTTTCAAGAAAAACAAAAGAAGACGGTAGGCATTTAATGACGTTTTTGTTTCGTAAAAGTTTTGCTCCGTAATTTTACTTAAATAATTAAATTTATTATTTTAAAATTTCAATAATTTGTTTATTATTATTTATTTTCAAACATATTTACTACCAACAAGGCTGCAACAACCACGAGTTGGAAGTTACTGGAAATGGAAAGACTAGGGTTAGAGCAAGATAACGATTAATAGGCGACTTAAAAGATTGCAAACTATATGAATCAGGAAAAAAAGAAGAAGGGATTGAATTTCAAAAAACTGTTTGAGGGGGAAAACTAGTAGAAAAAGAAATTTTTGAGCACTTAGGAACAGTCACAGTGAAATGATGAGACTTAATTAAATGACGCGTAACACAATAATGAATTTTAGTAGTTAGCACAAGAGAAACTAGCTCTTGAAGTTGAATTAGAAAATTGAAGAAAGCAAACTCTAATTTAAAAATATCTTCTTTAGTTGTGGGTAAAATGGAAGGAGCTCATAAATCATGTATGGTAATAAATTTAGAAGTATCATAACACATATTCTCCTGATCTGGAGAGCAGGGTAATGCCTAGAAGGGCGTCCAGTTGCAAATTTACTTTGACTCCATTTCATATTTAGATAAAGAATGGTTTGTAAATGGCCC